CACAGAATCCTTTAATTAAAAAAAAAAAAATCTTAGAAAAGAATCCATTTAAAAATGACCCTCTCCCATAAAACCAAGATTATTTTGTTTGAGTGAAGTTGGGGTAGGGGACCCAGCACCTTGTTTTCTCAGCACTTCAAACTTCCCTTGCCATCCCACAGAGACACCCCTGGTTCAGATGAGCAGAATTTGAAAACCAAGTTTACACACCTTATGATGACACCTAATCACAGGGTTTGGTATCATCCCTGTTATAAGATACGAAGCTGCTTGCATGAAGCATGGTGGTGAGAAAACAATTCAACCAAAATGCTGCCATTTGCCTTGTTGGCCTGACTGGATAATGGTACAGATACATATCTTGGGCAGATATTTTTCTAGATGCCTTCTTGCCTGGAGACAACAGTGGGGTAAAGGTTCCCTGGGGAGGCCCTGATAGCCTATGGCTGGTGAAAAGATGGAGTATTAGATGGAGCATCAGGCTTCCTGTCTACACATCCCAAAGTGTGTTATGTGAATCTCTGGTGTATAGAGGTATGCAAGATAATTCTGAGTAGCATGGGAATAAATAATTTAAATTTACATAATCACATATTTACTATGTAAATGCTGATAACAATAGTTATGTATTTTTAGGTCCAAAAGCTACTGAAAATATAAGCTAAATGCTAATAAAGATATATAGGTAGTGGTGTTAGATACCTTTGAGTTGTTTCTGACTCATAGCAACCCCATGCACAGCAGAACGAAACACCGCCCAATCCTGTGCCAGCTCCATGATCCTTGATATACTTGAGCCCATTGTCTTAGCCACCATGTCAATCCATCTCATTGAAGTCTTTCCCCTCTTTTGTTGACTCTCCACCTTACCAACCATGACATTCTTCTCCAGGGAATGGTCCCTTCTGACAGCATGACCAAAGTAGGTGAGATGAAGTCTGGCCATTCTCGCTTCTAAGGAGCATTTCGGCTGCACTTCCTCCAGAACAGATCTGTTAGTTCTTTTAGCAGTCCATGGTACTTTCAGCATTCTTCACCAGCACCACAACTCAAAAGCATCAACTCTTCTTCAGTCTTCCTTACTC